ATATATATATATATATATATATATATATATATATATATATATATATATATCCTTCATAGAAAGCAGTGAAATGCACCTGAGTTATAATCATGAAGGCTTGATGAAATTCTTTAGCAAAGTGTTTAATATCATATGAGTACAGACTTTGACATCATCTCACACAGTATTTTTGTTCATTATTTACTCTGCTTGAAAATCGGGCTGTAGTTGGTGCTGCAGATTTAAAGGCTGACGTGTGAATTATGTGCTCGAGGTTAATTATGTGAGGAAATGCTACAGTGTCTTACCAGCTTCTCTGTCCTTAAGAGGACATACAACGGTGTCTGTCTCTTCCTGCCTGTTTTTATTACTTTTATGCCTGACAGCAAATTGAATAAATGAGTTGTGCCAGTTAGCATCACTGCATGTTAATAAACTCTGGCAGTTTTAACTCTTCACTGGAAATATTAGCTAGAAGAGTTTAATCCATCTACGTCATTAAATGAAGTAGTAGTGAGTAAACATGATTTAAATTTGCAATATAAACTTAAGTACTATTCAGATGGGCTTAGTTCTCTGGATTTCTGAACTGATCGATTCGCAGGGGATGAACAATCTCTATAAATCACAGAGACGAGCATGTTATTACGATGTATGGATATCACACTAAACATTTCATTTGTAATATATATACCTAATTTTACTCTAAACTGATTGGTTTGACCTTCGGCCATGGCCATGCAAGCTTGATCATTAGTAGGTCATGTGTCCATGACCTGTGCTAGGAACTCAATTTCTAAAACCCCAAGAATTATTGCTTCTCTGACACATCCTTTGGGTTTATGGGGTTATTTCTACTGCTTCTTCGACTTAAGGTAAATTATGGCATAATCTTTCCACATGCATGTACATGCAGTTTGTAATAATCTTGAAGGCCACAGATGGAAAACCATGATTAGAAGAAGAACATCCTTGATATTTTGTTAGCTACCTGGCTACCATGAGCTAAGACATATTCCTGTTATTATCTTTACTCTCAAAGCGAATACTACCTAGCTGGTTAACATCTGCGAATCTTATACGATATCTGAGAAAAGTTACCTCCTTGAGTACAGTGATGAAAATGGTTGCGAGCCAAGTGTCTGCTCAAATGCTTAAAGGGCATGCCTTTGTGTTTGTTTATGCACTCAGAGACACACCCACCAATCTGTGATGTACAGACACATTCTTCTCTTCTCCTCTAATGCTGCATTGCAATGCTTTTGGAAAGCTGTCCCTCACTGCAGCTGTGTCTTACACTCCGTTTGCATCATCCTTACCCTGTCTACTCTCTACTAGGACCATCCAGAGCTGTCTTCCTGCATTTCTGACATTTATGTCTCATTTTTATGCTTGTGTCAGGGTGAAAGTTCTTTTATTTAATGAGCTGTTGTCAAGGTTGAAGTGCTTTGTCTTATTGTGTATGTACAGAGCATTTTCCCATCACATTATCAGCTGGGACAAATGCACAGATCCACTAAGGACAGGACAGGAGAGACGATGAAGACCGGCTTGATGACCACAAGGACATCACAAAGAGCTTTGCTGGATGAAATATAGCCCACTGGAGCACTTCAGACCTTCAGTACTTTCCTTGCTTTAACTTAACTGACTCATCTTCTGAACGGCATGACGATTAGCTCAGTAACTCAACAGTGCCATTGAATTCTGGATTGTGATTGGTCAGAAGGTGTTGATTAATTCTCTATAACAGCAGCTCTGACAATAGTGCAGCTGCAAATCACAGGTTTATATTAATGCACTCGTTCTAATACGTTATTGTTTCTATAGTAACAGCTCATTCACAGGGACATGTACAGCAGACGCTCCACATAAACAGATTAAAATTGTGTGTAATCATTGACGTGGTGAAGTTTTCATGTTTATTTATCATTTATGGAACAGTCAGTTTGTAAGCTGTAACTAAGTTTTCTGACTTCTTCAGGGCAGAGGAGTTTACACTTTGTGGTTTGTCAGTAACATGACAAGCTGTGATTTTTTTTTGTCTTATTAACTTCAAGAGAGAGAAAAAAGAGAGGCTGGTGAGGGAACGACAGTTTATAGCTGCTATAACGTAAGTGAGAACAGGAACGGATGTTCCATTACATTAAATTTAACTGCAAACAGATAGAAAGTTCATGTCTTTTAATAAATAAAAAATCATCTGGTTGCTGTGGTATATGACGAATAATATCCTCATATTCATCAATTTCGAAGTGGTCCCTGGAGGACTAGTGGTTAGGCCTTGGCTCTCTCAACACAGAGTCCCGGGTTCGATTCCCGGGCCAGGGATCCGCCACTGGGGTTGCATACGACAGTGCACTCGCAGTGTTGGACCCAAGCCTGGATAAAATTGGGGTTATGTCAGGAAGGGCATCCAGCATAAAGGCTGACCCTTTTTTCGTCATGATCTTTTTTGTCCTCAGTTTCTAATCTTCCTTTCATTAGTGATCTATCTATTCTCAGCATCTAATCCTCCTAACCTCAGTGTCTGATTCTTCTGTCTTTAACAGACCTGTCAACCCTGAAGAGGAATAATGTGGAGTCCCGCTGAAGGGAAGAGTGCAGGTGTGTGTATGGTGTTCATGTGGTGGTGTGTTTACTGCTTTCTTTCTTTCATCATCAGTAACTGTTTTAACCTGGTCAAGGTCTCTGAGGTATAAAATACAAATCTGTTTATGTTTTCAGCGCTAGACCTGGTTAAGTTCATCACAACATATTGCAGGCAAGTGCAAACAATCATAACTCTGGCTGTGGGTGTGGAATAGAAACAGACCTTTTTATTCTCTTTCAGTTGAAAACCAAAAGTTTTTTTTTTGTTTCTGACCATTTTTAGCTGAAATTTTGTCATCACTTATAAATCTAGTTAACTGATGATAACTATATATGTGGCTAATGTTAGTTTAGTTGAACATACACTGATAGATTTTATTTCATGTTAATGAAGTCAAAATATTCTCCATTTACCATGGCAGAAAGAAACGGCACCACATCTGCACATCTTTTGAGCAGGAAAATGAAGACAAGGTGATTATTATCTGGATTATTACTGCAAGATGGCGGAAGGGGTGTGGCTTCCATGGAGTCGGTTGTTATCAGAGAATTCAAAACACCTTTGCAACTTCATTCACATTCACATGAAAGGCTCATTTCGTGTTTTTATTGGGGAAGAGTCCTTTAGTGTAGTGCTTTTGAGTGAAAATTAGTGCTAGAATAAAATGTCTGTAAAAGTTGGCAGATCTGCATTAGTGTCTGATCTTTTTATCAGTGTTCTCCTAAACTGTCGAGGCTTCGATCATTACATTTGAACAATTGTATTATTTTAATCCATTTGGTATAGTGCAGGAACTTTTATTTGTCTCGACTATGATGGAGCTGCTGTTTATTCTGCTTCTTGTTTACTGTCATTTTGAGAGATTGGACATGTCTGATTCTTTCAGCGCATCCAGAACAACCCTGCAAAGAACCGTTGCTCTGTGTGATATATGTGCTGCCTTATAGATAGTGCTCAGGGTGGGATCATTTTCATCTTCTGTTGAACCTTTATAATGGTATCCATGGCAACTGCATCCCAAGTCATTTGCTCTCTCTCTCTCTCTCTCTCTCTCTCTCTCGCTCTCTTTTGCTCCCTGGTGTGGTGTGGTAAATGCGATTCATATAGAACACTGGGTCATTTATTCATGTCATAAATCTGGACAGAGCAACAGCAAATCACCCTTATGGTACTTGTCTATTATTAACTAACTATTATTCACTCAATTACATCATGAGATTAAAGACCACACTAAACACTGCTTGGTGTTCATGCGCTTGCTGGTAGTTTTATAAAGATATTTCTGGGTCATTCTGAACATTCGAGGCATGTTCTATTTATAGTGTCTTGGATTTTGTGTTGATTTGGTAGTATGCTTGACCCATGATAATGCTGAAAGCTCTATCTGTGGTCATGTCTGAACCTCCTGGCACAGGCAACCAGGCTTTAATAAGTACCACAAAATACCCTGGTGCTTATTAATATCCATGATCCCATGATTTTCACAGTGGGGTATCAGGTGCTTACACAGTCCACTTTTGTTGCCATGCTGATAGAGTCCATGAGCAAAAAGTGAGCAAAAAAAAAAAAAAAAGCAAACATTTTGGTCTTATTTCACCTCAAACATGATGCCAGTAGTAATCACAGTTGGAGAAGTTCAGGTGTTGTATTTTGTGAGATGATCTCAATCCATTTAAAAGCCAAATATGGAGAAAATCCTCAGCTTTACACACATCTTCTGAAGCATTATGCTAATAACATTTTATTTTTACCAGAATTGCTTTGGTATATTTCTCAGGTAGTTTTTTTCATATAGAGTGAACAGTTTTAGAAGTTTTCCCCTTTAAGTAAAGAAATACTTACAGCCTACAGTCACATGCTGTATGGTTTGATCTGTCTTAAGGTATTAAGTAAGGAATAACACACATCGGGCTGTGCTGTTACAGGAAAATAATCCACAGCCAAACATAAAGCAGACTTTTTCCTTTAACAGCATGGTCCAAAAGGTTTTCTTCCTCTAATACCACAGCAATATGACAACAATTATAATTTTATATTTATTAATCAACATCATAATTTTTATCTGTTTATAGTTACATTTAATGTGTGTTGATGTGGAAACAAGTTAGTTCCTGTCCTCACTTATGTTATAGCAGTTATAAACAGTTGTTCCCTCACTGGTCTCTCTTTTTCCTTGAAATTAAAAAGACAAAAAATGCAAAAAAAAAAAAAAAAAGAAAATGGATAGTGTAAAAAAAATGCTCTGTCCGGTGGTGGAAAACACTGGAGACTCATTCCATAAATGTTAAATAAACATCTCCTAACTGATTGTTTTACTATATCAACTATTAAACAGTTTTCGTCATTCATTTCCTAATCCATTTATTATATTAGACTTAGATTATGTGAAATGTTCGCTGTGCCAGTCCCTGTGAATGAGCTGTTACTATGGAAACGATAACATATTAGAACGAGCGCAGGTTTTTTTCGGTTAAAACATCCTGGTACTTAGCAGAATTCATGATGTTATCAATCTTCAGAAGAGTGAAATATGTTGTTATCCGATCACAAAAACACAGTGGCAGTTGTTGCTACACCATTTGTTCATGCACTGTAATTTGTGACGTCTTGGTGTTTAACAGTTATAAATGATTACAGGTGTGAGATCTGAAGCTCTGTTTGCGTGACTCGTCTTCTAGGGGATGAAAACTTATCCTCAGCCGTGCTCGTTGTAGTGCAGCAGGTGAACAGATCAGCTCGTGTAGAGGTCAGTATTAGTGAAAGTGATGGCCTCTGTGGTCTCTGAAGGCTCATTTTGTATCGATCTGTTCATTCCTCACTCGTTCCTGTGCTATGAATAGCATCTCACCTGGCAGGAGTGTCACTCTGGCTGAGCGTGTGGTTCTGACAGATGCTTTCTCTGCGTGCATGCTATAGAGCTCGTTTTATTTATCGCACATTTTCAAAATGTTACATTAAAGGGATAAGTATTGATCAAAGTGGGTTATGTGTTAATAAATTAGATGTATTGGATCAATAAAGAGCTAAAAGATTGCAAAAATTCAAGGACACATGAGAGCCACGATCCATAATAAGCACTTTAGTTTGTAAAAAGATGCAACTTGTTAAGCCCCGCTCCTAATCCTAACCCTAACCTTTGTAAGTTTACGTATAAATTAAGTTACATAACGTTTATGTAAATACCAGTCTTTTCAAGAAATGTCCAAAATGGTAGAATGTTTGAAACTACAATAGAAGACCTAGTTTTATAGTTGTTATATTCATGTTTTCATATTATACACCACAAGCATTGTGGAGCATCACATGATTATATAATAATAAAACCATAGAGTCAATGTGCGTAGTGTCACACTGCTCTCTGTCAGTCGTATAGAAACCGCTAATTTGCTCACAAAGTCAAAACAGAGCAACGTCATGACCTTGTGTTTTCTACCGATTCCTCTCATGACGGTTCTCCCAAACCACATGACCGATGTTTCTCAGAATGATAAAATTTACAGGAATTTACACCATGGCTATAAAATACTTTTTGACTTGCAAATTTGCAGAAAGGCGTGACTTGTTAAACCCCGCCCCTAATTCTAACCCTCACCTTTCTGACTTTACATAAACATTGAGTTAAATAAAACCATGTTTAAGTAATTGTTGTTTCAAAATATGTCCCAAATAGTAATAGAATCATGATAGCTTGATCAGCGTGATAGTTTTAAATGATACACTGTCAGTTTTAACATTTTTTTAAAACAAATATAACACTGAAATTAATACGTAATGATTTAAAGCATAGCTAGAGTTTATGTATCACAGTGCTGTCTCTCTTTTGAGCTATGAAGTGGCTAATTTGCCAGCAAATCACTTACGTTATAACAGCTATAAACCGTTGTTCCTTCACTTTCTCTTAAAGTTGAAACAAAACAACAAAAATGCAGCTTGTCAGCTTGGCTAAGAAACCACAAAGAAGCGTAAACTCCTCTGTCCTGAAGATGTCAGAAAACTTAAAGTTACACTGGCACTGACACTGACACTGGAGACTCCTTCCATCAATGTTAAAAGAACGTCTCCTTACAGAAAACTTCACCATATACACATGTTTTATAAACGTAGAGTGTCTTTTGAACAAGTTTCTTTAAACGAGCTGTTACTATAGAAACAATAACGTATTAGCCCGAGTGTGTTAATGTAAACCTGGGATCTGCGGCTGCACTGCTGTCAGAGCCGCTGTTATGTTTGAAAAATAAAATATTGAACTTCACCTCTGTCTCATCCATTATTTTTCAGTGTTGCAGCATTTTAATGGCCGTCATCTCTCATGTAGCTTCAAATAAACATCCTGGTTTATAAATGTTACATTACATGCGTTGTTTGATGAAAACAAACAAACAAACAAACGAACAAGCAGACGAGTGCTTACAATTTCTCACTAAATATATTTACATGACATACAGTTCGCCATCAGTGCAATACATAGGAATGTTGCATAATTACCAAATATTAAACTCTTTCCTCTGTAAAGAAAAATAAACAAAAATGACAGATTGAGACAACGCGCATGTAAACCCACATTTACAACGTTCACATCTGATAACAGGGAAATCTTCACGGAAATAATCCCAAAATCTGCATTTCAGAGTCACCTCATCAACAATCAGACACAGCATTGCAAAAATAAATAATAATAATAATAATCATAAATAAAAAAATGAACATAGCACGAGTACGTAGCATATAATTATCTTCAT